CAATAATACAATATACTATAATGTACTATTGCTGGCATTTGTTGTATTCCTCTGAAGCTGCTGGTATTCTGCATTGTGCTGTATATAATGTACTATATTACACTCCACACTTTGTTTTACTTCCACCGCTGCAAGCTTGCTCCCGTGATGGGCTACAATCTCAATACAAACTACCGTTTTTCCCCGAAAATGAGACACTGTCTTATTTTTTTTTTCCAACGAAAAAACCCACTATGTCTTATTTTCGGGGGATGTCTTATATTTAACCGGCTGCAGCTGTCCGCTCTCCGCTCTGATGCCGTCCACTTAAACCACACTGGCTATGCCGCGCTGTCCCTGGTGGGAAATGTAGTCTTCAGCGGCAGGCGAGGAAGACCGGTGGGTGTGCATGGGTGGGGGGGGGAGGGAGGGAGCTGCAGCCGGTCTTCAAATGTAAAATTCTATTATATGTGCAGCTACCCCGAAAGTAAGACCTAGCGCTATCTTCAGGGATTTCTGTAATACATGACCTACCACCAAACTAGGTCTTATTTTCGGGGTAAGTCTTATATTGCAGAAATCCCTGACGATAGCGCTAGGTCTTACTTTCGGGGAAACATGGTAGTAGTCCATCACTGGAGCCTTTTTTTGTATCCGATTAATCGAACTTAATAATCGGCTAACTAATCGATTTTTTAAATAATCGTTAGCTGCAGCCCTAGTTCCAGGGATTCCAGACTTGTAAAAAATGTAGACCCTTTTGAAGCTAAATAATACGTTTTGTGGTGTCTGCTGTTATGCACTGCTTTTACCTATATTTAATTTATTGATTGTTCTTGGTGTCTGATTTTGTATAAAGGCATGGTGCACAAATTCTGTTAACTAGTTCTTCAGCTTATTGAATTGCAGTTGTTGAACTCGTGAAGAGAGACAGTTGCCTGGCTGTTTAACCTCCCTGGCGGTATTCCCGAGTCTGGCTCGGGGTGAATTTTCAATGCTAGGAGCGGTAACCCCGAGCCAGACTCGGGGCTGCAGAGAAAACTGACACTCACCTTGTCCCTGCGATCCCGCGGCGTCCTCTGCTGTACGCGGCTCGAAAATGAAACTAAAAGCCGGCATCTGACTTTTAGTTTCGTTTTCGAGCGTCACAGCCGGCGGGAAATTCAAAAGTGAAAAGTTGTAATGTACACAGAATACACACAATACAATGTAATCTGCTATGATTACACTTATATATCAAACTATTTCACTTCAATTTTGTCCCTAGAGCTTTGTCCAGTGCCCTGCCTGACACTTTTTCACAATTATAAGAAATGATCATATAATAAATAATTATAAAAAATGATAATAAAATAATAAAAAAAATGGTCCAGTAAATGGGAATTCTGGGGTCGTTGCCTGATCCGTACCACAGTAAATAAAGTACCAAGTTCGCACATCACTGAGCTCGGTCGCAGAATCCTCGCTGTCCTCACTTTCAGTGTCTGTTGAGGAATTTCCCAACGAATCGCTATCACTCAATTCTGCAAGTAGTTCTAATTTACTATCGCTGTTTTCTACCTGGTCTAAAACCGCTTTTGACCTAAAACAGCGACGATTCTGCGACCGAGCTCAGTGATGTGCGAACTTGGTACTCTATTGACTGTGGTACGGATCAGGCAGCGCCCCCAGAATTCCCATTTACTGGACCATTTTTTTAATTTATTATATTATAATTTTTTATAATTATTTATAATTATTTATTATATTATAATTTCTTATAATTATTTATAATGTATTATATTATAATTTTTTAATTTCGTGTTTCAAACTTTATCATACCTGGTATGTCTACTGGACTCTTGTTTGGACAGATTTAGGTGAGTTATTCCTAGGATTTACTAAGAACTACAGGCCTACAATGTAAAACAACATATTTGCTTGAAAAACAATGTACCGCTTTTGGTACCTAAAATCCTGAATAATCATACCGCCAGGGAGGTTAACTAGTAATTTGGCTTCAGTACTTTTCTAAGTCACAGGCATCAAGAATGAGAGTTCTTACCTGGTCAAAGGTGGGCTCCTTTACAATTCTGGATGCAGTTATTTCAATTCTAGAAAGCAGGAAGTGCTTTTAAGGACCTAGAAAACACATTTGGTCGGAAAGTTAAACACAATGGTATATAAGGTATAGCAGCTAGTAGTAATTTCTGTCTGATAGTTTCAAGAATAATGAGGGAAAAATACCCTGCCTCCATGTTACCCAATAAATACAGAACTGAAGCTTTATGGTGCTCCTCGTGGTTGATTGACTTGTGGATTATGAAGCAGTAATAGCTCCTGACCAATTCTTGTTAAAGTTTGCATCACCAAGAGGTTAGAGATCTCTCTGTTATCCAGGATCTCATGTGATATCCATATGTTTTTATTAAATAGAACTCTCAGCAGGAGGGTGGGAATCTAAGCCTCCTTTCAGAGGCCCAACCCCCTTGTGATTTCTATTTCTAGATCTCGGTGAAATGCTGGATGCACGGAGTATAGATAGGATTCTTGGAGCCCACCCATACTGGCCTTGTCCTACCAGCTGGAAAGCCACATACCAAATTTACATTTTCTTCCTGGTTAATAAAAATACTCCGCAGATATATTTCTGTGTATTTTAACAGCTTCACTATTTAGATTTGTGGCAGCATATGCAGAACACCCCCGATTCACTGTAACCTTAAGAAAGTTTACAGGTTGCTTTTAAAATTTAAAAAATATAGTATTTTTTCAGCTTTGTTCACTTTGCTTGTTTTTGTTCAAATGAAAGTAAGTATCACGTACCTGGTAGGGAGCCCATGCGCATGCCGTCCGCGCATGCGCAGTAGTTGCCGCTTGCGCATGCGCAATAGCGGTTGTTTCCCGCAAATGCGGTGAACATGCCTATGCGCAGTTGTATCTATGCTGCCAGGCATGTTCTTACAGTAAGGTGGAAACATTGTCCCTCCCTTTCTGTAATTTCTACTGATTTCCAATGCTCTTAGCAATACAGAAAACCTTAGAATTATTGTAGTGAAAAGCGATGTGCAGCCAGCCTGAGATTTGGTTGGTTTACAGTGATAAGTTTTTTTTAGCTTGATTCTTCCCTTCAGGAAAAAAGCAAATATTTGCAAATGTTCCCATTGTCGCATGAAAATAACTGCATACAAATGTATTAATGTTATAAAGTGAATTCCAGACAAACAGATCAATACACCCCTGAAATAGACATACACTATATTGCCAAAAGTATTGGGTCGCCTGCCTTTACACACACATGAACTTTAATGGCATCCCAGTCTTAGTCCGTAGCGATCAATATTGAGTTGGCCCACCCTTTGCACCTATAACAGCTTCAACTCTTCTGTGAAGGCGTCCACAAGGTTTAGGGGTGTGTCTATGTGAATGTTTGACCATTCATCCAGAAGCGCATTTGTGAGGTCAGGCACTGATGTTGGAGGAGAAGGCCTGGTTCGCAGTCTGCTCTAATTCATCCCAAAGGTGTTCTATGGGGTTGAGGTCAGGACTTTGTGCAGGCCAGTCAAGTTCCTCCACCCCAAACTCGCTCATCCATGTCTTTATGGACCTTGCTTAGTTCACTGATGCGCAGTCATATTGGAACAGGAAGGGGCCATCCCCAAACTGTTCCCACAAAGTTGAGAGCATGAAATTGTCCAAAATGTCTTGGAATGTAGATGCCTTAAGGTCTCGTTCACACCTAGGCGTATTGCATATGCGCCTCTGTCGCGCGTTTTTTTACCGCGATTCGTGGTAAAAAAGTAAAGCGTTTCCGAAGGCTACTTGGCTGTATCCCAATGGAAACGCGCAACAAAACGGCCCAAAGTAGTACATGTACCTTTTCAGGCGTGGGCCGTTTTGTAGCGCGTTAGGGACGGGCGGAAATACGCCAAGGTGGGAACGAGACCATTGAATACAATGGGATTTATATTTTTGAGCGTTTTGTAGAGCGTTCGTCGAGCGTAGAACGCGCTACAAAACGTTCAGGTGTGAACGAGGGCTAAGAGTTCCCTTCACTGGAACTAAGGGGCCAAGCCCAACTCCTGAAAAACAACCCCACACTGTAATCCCCCCTCCACCAAACTTTACACTTGGCACAATGCAGACAGGCAGGTACCGTTCTCCTGGCAACCGCCAAACCCAGACAGGTCCATCGGATTGCCAGACAGAAGCGTGATTCATCATTGCAGACAACACGTCTCCACTTCTCAGGAGTCCAGTGGCGTCGTGCTTTACACCACTGCATCCGACGCTTTGCATTGCACTTGGTGATGTAAGGCTTGGATGCAGCTGCTCGGCCATGGAAACCCATTCCATGAAGCTCTCTACGCACTGTTCTTGTGCTAATCTGAAGGCCACAGGAAGTTTGGAGGTCTGTAGCTATTGACTCTGTAAACAGTTTGCGACTTCTGCGCACTGTGCACTTCAGCATGCGCTGACCCCGCTCTGTCATTTTACGGGTCCTACCACTTTGTGGCTGAGTTGCTGCTGTTCCCAGTTGCTTCCACTTTTTTATAATACCACTAACAGATGAACGTGGAATTTTTAGTAGCAAGGAAAATTCACGGAACACCTAAATCCAATGATTCGGATGGGTGTCCCAATACTTTTGGCAATGTAGTGTATTTATTCACAAAATTGTTAGAGTGGTTGCCAGCAATATAGGACTTTTAGGTCTGGGCTTATTGCACAAGTAAAGGACCCCTTTTCCACTTTACAAACCAAGGCATCATTTCAATTTTTCGGAGACTACTCCAGCACAATTATTTCATATACATACTGCACATTTGTAATTCTGTGGCAGTTACCCTCCTGTCTATGGCAATTTTCTCTTGAAATGGTGTCAATCCAAACCATACAAGAAGCCTGACACACCAAATGTTTTGAATTGCAGCTCAACTGATACCTTATTAATATTTCATGAATTGTTATCACTCATTTTAAAGTTTTGTTATATTTTTGTTAAATCCTGAAAAAAATGTATCTGCTCTTTGTTTCTGTAGGAAATTCTGTGCGTGGTGCCAAAGTTCTGCTTTCCCTTTGCTATTGACAGGTAAGCGCATTAAATATTTCAATAACTGCAGTATTTCTGGGTTTAGTTTAAATATTAAGAAATGTGAACATTGCCTGAATGGTTGTACTCCTAATAAAATATAAACCTATTAATACTGAAAATATTTATGCTTTTTTTTTTACAGAGGAGCGCAGGCACAGATGGGACAGCACTTTACCTTTGTTCTGACTGATATTGATGGAAAACAAAGATTTGGTTTTTGCCGCTTGACCTCAGGAGGTAAAATATGCCTGTGTATACTAAGGTGAGTGAGTATATGAGTAATTCTGTCATTATTCAGTGAATTACATACATTACTCCTTTCTTGCTTTGAAATTTTTGTTGCTTTTGTGATGCTTTAGGCTGACCAAGGACAATAGAAGTTGGTTGGATGTTCATGTATGATTGGACTACCCTCGGGGTCCAAAGAAAGCTGCAGAGTGCTCCAACTTGTAACCCTAGCATTGATCTTAACCCAATAATTTACCTTAAAGGTAAAGTGGAATGGAAAGGAGCAGGAGGCAGCACATTAAAGGCTGCTGGCACTGGAATACCAGTGTGAGGGGATTTGGTAATCGGGACAAATGGCTGAATCAGTCAACATGACTTTGGGCACCTGTATTTGCCTCTTGCACATCTTGAAGTCCTATTACCCATACTTTTTACTGAACCAAACTTTTTCTCCTTTCCTTCACAGATTGTTTTGCTGCCACTTTTTTCCTTAATACACTATTGTTATAGGTCAAGTGTTTTCTGTTACTGTGTACTCGCTGTCCATGCTCTAGACAGAAGCCCCCCTCCCCTTGTTTTTCACAGTCTGGACAGGGAGAAACCTGCTCTTTAGATGTGAACCTGCAAATCGTGAATCTCTTTACTAACTTGGAATGGTGATTACTCACCTGCCCCTTCCTATACAAGCCACTTCCTCCCCGTCACTTAACCTCTGACTTTTCCAATTTAAAAAATGTACCCTGCAGTGGCAGCCCAGTGGTTCAAGAGCCTGGAGGGTGACTGGGCTACTAATAGGTAGCAGTGCTGGGAAAATATTCTTGGGGGAAACTGTTTGAATCTCCTTCTAATGAGCCATGAAATATGGGGAGGTTTGTTCACTGTGACAGGCCTTGACGGGGCCTTGTATTTCACACTAGACCTAAAACTCAGCAAACCTGTCACTCTGTATATTATGCCAACAGAGCTACTTTGGTCACCCATTCATAGTTTTCGTTTCTCTGCACATTTATTTCTCCCGAGTTTCCAGCAATTCCTCTGCCAAAGGTGTATGGTTGTGAAACTAGGCATGCAAGGCTGAAGACCTGCAAGCACACATAGACATACAGAATATGTAAGTGTAGGTGGAAACAAATACCTGTGGCTAAATTATGATACCTGGAGGAAAGTAGAGCAGTTGCCCTTCTTTTTCAGTTTAATTTTGATTAGCAGCTACAACTGCTATTTTACTTTTCTGAAGTTTTCATTAAGCCCTTGTTCACACCGAAAGCGTGTGCGTTCCAGAGCGGTAGCACCGCGATTGCTAAGAAACTTCTTCCCGCGTTTTGGGGCGGGAGGGGGCGCGGCGGTGCATTTAATTTAATGGCACCGCTTCCCCCCCCCCTCCCCCCCCCCTTTCGCCCGCAGTGCGATCAGACGCGTGGCAAGACTTTGCCAGCGCTTCGTTCCACTGCAAACGCAAAAAAATAAGGCTTGCTCTATTTTTTGCGTTTGCAGTGGAACGAAACACTGGCAAAGTTTTGCCACAAGCCCTCAGCGGCATCTTTAGTGTACTTAGGCAGTAAGCTGTTCACATTGGTTTTGCAGTTACATTGTAGGTCTCAACATGACCACGCACTTTAAAATCTAACTTTTGAATCTGTTACCAGCAACATTAGTCTGAGGACCTAACAAAAAAACATTTAATTTAGATATCATCAGTAAGCAATCTGTCATACGAAACATGTTTCCATAAACTGTATACACTGGAGGGACGGTTCATTCACAAAATATATTTGCAAGGTTTCCAGATACCGTATATACTCGAGTATAAGCCGAGATTTTCAGCCCATTTTTTTTGGTGAAAAGTGCCCCCCTCGGATTCCAATTACACGACTAGGTGCAGCAAAAGTATATTGTGTACCATTGTTCCAGTATCTCATGATGGGAAAAAATAGGCATGCAAAAATATTTATTTTTACTTGATAGAGAGCGGGGTACCTTTTGTTTGTAATCCTATTATATTCAACTGTTTATTTTAAATAGTTACAGCGTGCAACCGCACAGTTACATAGAAAGACATGCACACACGCTGACAGTTCATAAATGTTAACATAGATGTGGAAACTTTTCTGCAGTAAGTCTGTAGTCAGCACTATGACCTCTTATCTTGCACTAGAGAACAAGACTTTCCTCTGCATGCCAGTCGCTGCTCATGTGTAATGTAAAGCTCATCATCCATTCTGTGCACTTTGTAATGACCCCCAAACACTGCGGCTCTGCCAAGAGGGAGCCAGCCTGACACGACATTGAAATGCATGACCTATCTTGCACAGAGCGTTGCATCTCACTATCCCTCTGTAACAGGGACATAAATCTGCCGCCCAGAGGAGGGAGATGCCCACACAAGGGACAGGCTATTTTTCATTAGGCGGTGGAAGGCAATATTCATGCAATAATATGATAAATGGCTCTGCACTGCAGTGAATAGTACAATGTCTTTCCTGGCAGATAAATCAACTGTTCTCAGCATTGCCACTGACTCTAGTAGCGTGTGTGTGTGTAAATATGTGTGTGATGTACATATAGAAATTTATGTGCTCATGTTTTGGTCATACTCTCCTTTAATAATGCTTTTATTTCCTTTAGTTATCTGCCCTGGTTTGAAGTCTACTACAAACTATTAAATACACTGGCTGACTATTTAGTAAAAGAGCAGGTAACGACTTATTATAATTCTATTAAAATGGCTCAGTGGATTGTTTGTTTGATTCTGTTATTTATCAATACTTTATATTTAAAGAGAATTTTCAAATATATATCTCCTTTGATGTATGTATTTATTTATGTTGGGCGTTATGCACATTTGGTGTTTATGCATTTTTGATTTAATGTTAAGCTCTAGCCAAAACTGTTTTGGATAGAGTAAGAAAGGATTAGCAGGGTTTTTACTTCTATCCAAAGTTCCCTTCGGCTGACTACTACCCTCTGGTGTAACACACATATCCGTCAGCACTGTGGATGGGCTTTATCCCTGGCTATCTGCATTTATATGTCCAGCCAGCCCGCTGTTCTGTGCTGAGCGAGCAGGAGTGACCAAGTGGTCGCCAACAGTTCCCAGTCACCATTTGCAATCCCGAGCCCCTTGAACTTACATTAACACATTTCACTGCCAGTGCCGTATACCTGTGTAAAACAGACTGTCTGCTCTACACTATACGCCTCTCTGGCAGCTTAGCTGCCACCAGATCAGTTCCATGGATCAGTGAAAAGTAACCGCCTGTCAGTGTTTTAGGCGGGTCTGACCGGAAGCCCAGTGTAACCCTAAGGGCAAGCAGATGTAAACGGAAGTGTGTCTGCTTACATCCGATTACCTCCGACTCCATCTAGGTCCATCAAGAAAATTGGAAAAGGAGTTCCAGTTTGGCAGACCTGACTGTAATTGATTTGGAGGTAATCAAATGTAAATGGACACATGTCTGCTTACATCTAGCTCTCCATAGACTCATCTTGGTTCCATACAGGTCCATACAATTTTTTCCTCCCATTGCAAGATGGAGGAAAAAGCTGAACGGACATAGATGTCACAAGAGTGACATCGGTTCTGTACTGCTCCGATCAGCAGGGGATCTGTGCACGGATTCCCTAGTGATAGGATCAGACTCCACCCATATGAAAGAGGCCTAAATGCAATTGAGTGCAAAAGCTGTTGTCAGAGTTTTTAAAACCCAAGAAAAGAGATTGAGAATTTCCCACAAAGTGTGTGACATTAAACTTCAATTCAACATTTACTCTGCAGCATTATCGTATTGCTTTTTAATATTCATGATAGGCCCCCTTTTAAATTGAGCTAGTTTTTTTTTTTCTTTTAGTGTCTGTCAGATGTGTTACCTGGTCTGATAATGAAGACTTTTGGGACACAATGAACAGAAACACTTCAATAACATAAATTGTAAAAAAGCTCAACATACTTTAATAACTGCAGTAGGTGCATATTTTGATTAGCAACAAAGTGCTGCTGCTTTCAAGAGCTAGATTTATATTATTAAATGCCATACCTTACATAAAGGCTTGAAGTGTAACAATGCTTTATTTTTGTCTTTTTAGGAAAACGACTTGAATGATATACTAAAGACTCTGTATAATCACCCGGTTCCCAAAGCTCACACTCCGATTAGTCTGAACCTGGTAAGTGTCCCAACCCTCTGACTAGTGCAGTTACTAAAACCGTGGATATTGTAGAGCGTGTAATAAGAAATGAGGTTTAAACACAAATTGTTTGGTCCATTTCTTTTAGACGGGTATGCAATATAATTGATTTCTAAAGAAACAGAAGTTCCTTATCTTTCATTGTTATTCAGAATAAAACTACGAGCATCACTTTTATCCTCTCTCTTCCATGTCCTGGTGATGTCCTCTTAAAAGCTGGACCCTGACTGACACATCATGCTGCTTGTAGACAATAATTGTATATGAGATAAGCCTAGCACATCTGTTGAAGCTGGGCCATAAGTTGTCCATACACAGGAGGGGGTTTCAAATGATTATCCCTCAAACCAGCCTTCCTTTATCTAATATGTAGACCCACATATGTAAGGCATAGTCCTAAACCATCTGTGCATTTATTACTAAAAATGAACAATTTTCTGATGAATTCTGATGCAGTTGGGTGTACAGAAAACTCTCAGCAGACTGGTACCAAGTGGAAAACATTTCATCTGAGTCCTGGTGTCTTCTGGTAATTAAACAGATATATACCAGCACATATCCCTCTGTCAAGGGTGTCTACAGACTCTTTTATAGACTGAATTTATGTGATGGATGAACCTTTAGTAAAGCTAAAGCTGAACTTTGGGCAAATATAAAAGATACCGTACTTATGAATGCAGCTATATATGCATCAATAAATGTATCTTTTAAATGCAGCTAGTGTAAGTACCTGAATTGACTTGATATCTTCCTCTTGCAATTAGGGCTGAAACAACTAGTTGATAAAGTCGATAATAATCGATAATGAAAACCTTTTTCAACAATTTTCATTATTGATTAGTTGGTCGCTCAATTAGTTGGGCTGCTTGCACCCTCACTCCCTCCCGCCTCACTAACATGCTTGTGAGCACTAACTGACTGTTCGGGCACTGCCTGAGGGCACGCGGCCTCCTCCTCCCCTGGATGATCGTAGTGGACTGAGGGGAAGAATAGGGCCGTCCCGGCATCACCCCAAGTCCCGGTAAGCATAGACTGACCATTCGGGGACTGTTCCCCATTCGAGACTCGTGGCCTCCCCCATGCCTCAGCTGCTTCCTCCCCTCGGCGTCACCCAGAGTCCCGGCGAGCGCGGACTGACCATTCGGGGACTATTCCCATTCAAGACCCGTGGCCTCCCCCATGTCTCAGCGGCCTCCTCCTCTCCTCCCTGGGCTTTTCATAATGGACTGGCTCAATAGCCATGTGCAGCCAGTGTAAGTAGTGTGTACTATGTGTTGCATGTATACTGTGTGCGTACTATGTGTTCTATGTGTGCTGTGTGCATATTATGTGTTGCATGTGTGCAGTAAATGTGGTCAGTGGCATAACAACCAGACGGGGGTGGGGAGATTAGATAGGGGCAGTTGCTCCGGGCACAAAAATGAGGGGTCTCGGAGGCCGAACAGGGAACACATTTAGGGCTGGTACACGCCATCTCCAGTGCGTTCCAGCACAGTTAGTGGCTAGTACGCACTGGATCGTATAGTGGAAGCCTTCCTGCATTCTAGGGCAGGAGGAGGCGTGGCAGTGCCATTCACCGGTTTTTGCGATCACACTGGACTGGAACGCGGCCATTGCTGTGCCACTCGTGCTGGTGATCACACTGCAGCTGGGAGGGTGTCTGTGGTGCCATTGTCTCAGCTTCTTGGAGTTGTGGAGAGTGAGGCATGTGATTCGAGCATTTAAGTGCTCCTGTCACATCCCTGTCCTTCCTTGATACTTGCTCGTTCACAAAATGCCTTGTATTTTTTTTGTCAAAGCATACAGGGTGTTCTATGATTGGAGGAGGAAAGATGATGTCATCCTCCCTCCTTTTCTCCAATTATAGAACTCCTTGTAATATTTGAGAAAAAATACTTGCCCATAATTGCTTGTGAATGGGCAAATAGTGAGGAGGGGTGGGGATATGACTGGAGCATATCTTCATGGTTCATGTTGCACCGCGCAGCGCCCAGAAGACTGGCTATATGTGTAGGAGCCGGCAGGCTAAATACTTTTATACTGTACAGCAGCCCTCTATACCTAAAATGCAGCATTTTAATGGTAATTTACATAAAAGTATGGTGTGTAAATTAGCATTTTTTCCCCCCAGAGTTTGATTTTAAAAATCTTGAGGCTTGGGTATATGAAATGTTACAATTTTTTGGTGTATTAAGCTAATTAACTGTTGAAATGACTGAAATGCCTTTAAAATGAAGGTCTTGCTGATAAAATAGGACAATATGACATAATTGACAATAATTGAGTTCCTCTGATACAGACTCTTAGCCTATATTAATAGCATGCTTATAGCTACAAGTAGAATCCTTTGTTTCTTGTTTACAAGAACCCACTACAGTTTGTTTCAAGCGAACCTGTTATGAAAAATGTTTCCTCTCCAGAGTTGGTAAGTGACAGGGGCAGGGTGAGGTTTTTTCGAAACTCTTTCTTAAATCTGAAAAGTTAATTGTGGTGAACTTGCTCTTCTGCTGTCATTGTGCATGCCAACTCTACTAAGCAAATCCTAATCTAGTGTATCTTTAAGCTGTTTATACTGATGTACTTATTTTAAAATCATTCACTCTAAAGTGCAACTGAAGCCAAAACGTTGCTAAGTTGGATGGAGTGGAAAGGGATTAGAATACCTGTCAGGTTTTTATTGCTGTCTGTTTCACCATTATAGAGATTTATTTGTCCTGATGACTGTTATTACTGAAAGTAAAAGAAAATGCCAAATTTTGGGCTGTCACCAGAACAGTAATGCGGACACTAGTTCTGGTGACCCTGCGGACCACCAGGAGTTTCCTTCACTCTGACAGGAAGGAATATCTCTCGATTGGGACACAGGGCAAAAAAAGCTTGGAGGGGTTATAACCCTCCTTTATTCGATCCAAAACTAAACAATTGCTTCATTTCTACTTATAAATGGTAAATTACAGTTGATTTTTCTCCCTTTATGTTGTCTTTTATTCCTCTCACTGGAAATGTTGAGACAAAAAAGGCGTGCTTTCATACTCATTTTGAATGGAATACCTAGAGCCATTTACAGATATTTAAAGGATTATCATCTTGTGTCAGAGGCTAGTTACATAAAGTGCACTGATCACTCCTCCTTTTTTTGTTTGTTTGTAATTAACAATTTCTTGCAACCTGATATATTGCCATCCATGCATTTTCTTCTGTTCAGGTCATTGGGAGATTTTTTGAAGGTGTAGCATGGGTGGAAAAAGCATGTAACTAAGGAAGAGCTAGGACTGACATGCAAGATTCTCAGTATTCCGTTTCAAATTAATATAATGATTTTTCGGTTTGGAAAAAAACCTTTGCAGTGGCCCCCCACTGCAAGGGTTTAAATGCCCTTTAAAATTAGACTAAACTCAGGGGTTAAATCTTAAAAATGCATTCAAGTACCTTAACTGTGCCATACTGTATCTTATTTGTGTATTACTTGGCTGTAGATCCTCAAATTATTTATGAATTGGTGCTGACACTGTCCCTTCTGGAGGGTGGCTACTTTGGTTCCCCATGGTCCCGGTGTGTGTTGCAAAGTAGCAACTGTTCCAAGCTCACTCCTGTGATGGACTACAGTCTCACGTTTAGTTTCAAATTTTTATTACAATTATAGTGTATCAAGGAAGCAACACACACAGGAGCATGGAGAACAAAAGTAGCCACCCTCTAGAACAGGGGTGTCAAACTCAATTTAATCATGGGCAGCATCAACATTATGGTTGCCCTCAAAGGGCCTGTAAGACTATATAAATGTATCTAATCTTTATCATAATTGCCTCTACATTCGATTATCATAATAACTTAATACCTAGATCTGAAAGTTGAAGTCTAGGAATTGGCATAGTGGGCCAGATTCTCTGGGCCTTGAGTTTGAAACATGTGCTCTAGAAGGAAGGACAGTGTCAGCACAAATTCAGAGATGATTTGAGGATCTACAACCGAGTGACACATAAATAAGGTGCAGTTTTGTTAATAGGGTACTTAAATGTATTTTTACAGAAAAATATTATAGCTCTGTGATAAATATTAGAATAGTATTAGTTGCAAATGTCAACATTTTTTCACGGAGGAAGTGGCCATAAAACCTTTGCTTAAAAGAGAACTATGGGGAAGTGTTTTTCCCCATAGTTCTCCTAAGGGTCACAGAAGGACATTTACTAGCGTCCTCCCGTGACCCAAAGCTCAGTAATTTACGCGAACCAAAGCTCGCGGTATACTGAGACCGCCGCAGCCACTATGTATCCCGACAATGCTGTCGAGATCCACCCAGCTGCGTGAGTGACACCTGGCTCTGCCTATCTAGAGTCAGAACCGGCTGTACCTGCCCCCTCCCCCGACCGTTTCTCCTGTCGGCGCTGGAGGAGCGGGGAGGGGGGGGGGGAATATCCCTGCAGGAAGCCGTGACTGACAGTCACTGCAGGGAGATGATCGAGAAGTGGGCGAGCGACGTTATGTGTTCGCTCACTTACCGATCTATTAAGCCGACGTGTGACAGTTTAATTGTCACACGTTGGCTCAAACTATGAGGATGAGTGATTTTTCACTCACCTCATAGTTCTCTTTAAGTATTTAGCTGTAAAAATATTAAAGGAAGTATAGCTTTTGTCAACTGGAGAACTGCTTTGAGCTGTGAACATGGAGCTGGAGTCAAACCCCTGTTTGACATGCCTGATGTACATGATCATACAAAAGCTATCATTTATTACTTGTGTATTTATTAGTGTAAAGGACACCCATTACAAATTCTCTTTTTTGTCTTAACATTAACTTGGTGTACATTTTCAGTCTTTGAAATGAAGGTGTTAATTATTTTGTATCATGTATTATTGCAATAATTGCCTGTACACATACCATAAAACTAATTAATCCTGATACTCTCTCCCTGTCCTATCACCAAACCTCCAATTAAGATCCTTATTAAACCCAAATTAACCTGTGTTGTATTTTTCCTCCCCTTCCTTCTCCTAGCATTCGTTTTTTATTACTCCTGACGTAACCGGACTGCCTACAATCCCTGAAAGTGTATGTATCTAATTGGGTTTTAACCACTTGTCTGTTTTCCCTGAATGAGCCTGTTTACTTGTTAACTCAATCACTTTGTGCGTTCTGTTTTATATTAAGGGGAGAATCCTACATGAATCTGAGAAATACCTAGTAACAAGAATGCAATTACTGAGAAACAGTGTTGTGCAAAGTCGATGAAATGCAGTCTAGATGAATAAGTATCTGAAAAATTAGTGTACGGGCCATATAGTTACTGTTTTTTCCATTGCGCAAATAGGGTTCTTTGTTTAAAGGAAAATATAACATCTCTTTGGCACTAATTAGGTTTTGCCCATGAAAGTAATGAAGTACTTTTTCCCAAAATATTCAGCCAAATAGGATTGCATTCAGCCTCCAAATAGTTAAATAAAGGGTGATTTCCCTGTACAGTGGCAATTTATTTTTTGCTTGTGATGCCCTTGTGTGGTAACATGGAAGATTACACTTTATGTCCGCTCATCCTACAGGTTTCACCCACAGCAACGTCTGCAGGTGTAATCTGGTATTAAATTACATCAAATTAAGATTATTATTATACAGGACTTATATAGCGCCAACAGTTTGTGCAGCGCTTTACAATATAAGGAAGACATTACAATCACGATACAATTCAAGACAAGATGGTAAGGAGGGCCCTGCCCCTGAGGGCTTAAATTAGATCAAATTAAGATAAGATTTTGTATTTTAGGCATGGCTTCACCTGCGGAGGCTTGTACCGGTCACTATTGTTCCCCACTGATAAGTTAACACTGCTAGCAGTGTTTTTTTCTTTAGGACCCAACGTCTCCTACCTCCTATTCCCCTCTGATATAAAGTGTTATCCTCATCAGTTGCATCAAATGAATTATACTTTAGCCTTATGCACGATATTTTACCCTGAAGATAACCAGATTGCACTTGTATGTGCAACCACCTCCTGAAGTCTACAGCCACTTTTATGAAGCTGCAGACAATCTGTTACACAGAGGGGGTCCTAAGTATTTTGGAGATTCCCCTTTTAATAATAATTGTAGCAAACACAAGAAAGAAGTGTCATTTGTTAAGTGTCATTTTCTTTAAAATTACGAAATGTGTGTAATTGATTTGAAAATGTAAGGCAGTTGGTTGAAAAAAAGATGAGACTGGATTTGGTATAAACTCAGATAGTTGAAGGACATTACCAGCACACCGAAGCAATAGTTACAGCAGTTTAAGTGTTCATTTATTGAAGAATGCTTTCGGGGCCACGCAGGGTCCCCTTGATCAAACTCAGAGATGACTCTGTCTGATGAAGTGGACCCTGCGTGGCTCCGAAAGCGCTTGCATGTGAGGGACAGCATTCTTCAATAAATGAACACTTAAACTGCTATAACTATGGCTTCAGTGTGCTGGTGACGTTCTTAAACTATCTGCATGTGGGGATGCCATCCGCAGTCATTTCGAGCACCCACTGTTATATCCACATGGGAATCCTGGTAAGGTGTGCAGCAAGGAACCTTTCTTTTTGTATGAACTCCGTTAGCCTGAGTTCGTTCAAGCCCGTTCAAATCTCTGATCATGACCCCCTCTCCCGACCCAATCTGTGGTGACTGTAGCAGCGGGGTCGTTCCCTGCCCTTTTGTGTCGTATAGCTGTGGGGCAGGAAGGGCATCTCCCCGCAACTGATTGGGTCGGGAAAAGGGGGTGGCGGTCAGAGTTTTTAGTGGGCTTGGATGAACGTAGGCAAACTGAGTTTGCACCAAACCCAGCCGTCAAATGTATTCAGCAATAAACTGGCTACACATGTTACAACCTAACTAAACAATCCTCTTGACTCGCCTTCCGCTATGTCATATGAGTACTTAAACAAGCCTTTTAAATTATATCAAATCAAGTAGAGTCTAGTCATACTAGATAGTTGTTGTCAAAACTAAAGCAGATTGCACAAACGGTTTGTAACATGCATTGGCAGTTTTATAATCCATATTTTCTACAACCTTATCCAAACTTTATGAATGCATTAGATCTTAAGTGAGCCCATGCACTTCTAGTTTTCTGTTCTATTTTGGTAGATTGAACAATCCAGTCTCAAAATGTGTGACCATTTCCCCTGGACTGCTACACAACTGCTAAATTCACACGTGAAAATCCAGCTCTAAATTCAGACACTTATAACCACCATTCTAAATCTTCAGAAGATTTAGAATAGTGTGTGTGTGTGTGTGTGTGTGTATACACATACACATACACACACACACACACACACACACACACACACACACACACACACACACGCACACTTGTTGGTATCCTTACACGAACAAAGAAGAACTTTAAGCTCACCAGATTAGTTGGCATCCATCATTGTTTGGAACCCTTAACTTACTATTTTGTTGCATAACCTTTAGAAGCAATCACTGTAAGTACTGTAGCTCTCAATGAGACTTCTGAACCTGCCATCTTTTTTTTCTATTTTATAGCACTTCTAGGAAATTTCTTGCATAAAACTATTTATAATTTGTATTATTTGTAAAGCTTTTCTGATTTACCAAATTTTTTCAAAGTTCCTAAAACATTTACACAGTAGTTTGTGTGTGTGTAAACTATTTATTTATTTACATGTATTTGTAACAATCTCACTATAACTAAAACTTGATTATAATTTCTTTATGCAGAGGAACCTGACAGAGTATTTTGTAGCAGTCGATGTAAATAATATGCTTCAGATCTATGCCAGCATGCTGCACGAACGTAGAATCATTTTCACCTCCAGGAAGTTAAGCACGGTAAGCAGTTTTGTGTGATGCATTGTATAATGTGCACAGTGAGGTCTGAGGTGGCAAATTCACACTTATCTGTTGGTTTACATTGCTTCTACAAGCAGACTCAACCACAATGAAAGTGTTTGGAGTAAAGGCTCAGTACAGGCACCAAATGCTGTATTTCTTCATCCAGTACATTCATTCCTGTGCATTTCAAGTCCATATGTGGTTTTACATATGTGTCTACATGCCTTTCCATGCATTTTACTGCTAAATGCATAAAGGCACACAGGGCCACCATCAGGGGGGGTACAGCCAGTACTGTTGTAAGGGGTCCAAGTGGACAGGGGGGCCCAGGCTCCAAGCTTTCATTTTTTTCTTATAGAATTATATTAATAGTACCATTTGCCAGG